AATGGCCCTGTTTGGGAATAGCGTTAGAGATTAGGGTTAGCGTTTTTGATAAAATTTTAACGATGCAGATTACTTTGAAAACACTAACGCTACACACTGGCCGTAGATAGCCTTTTGAAAACGCTAACGTTAATCTCTAACGTTATTCTCTAACATGCCCAATATTTTTATTTGGGATCCTAAGATATACAAAGCACAACCTCAGTATTACTCCATCTGTCCCTGAATATTTACCACATTTCAAAAAATGAGTCAAAATATCATTGCTTTCAATTCAATTTATTTAAATATTGGTATAAAAATAAAAATAAAATTTATATATTTAAAAAGTACATAAAAAATTTTTCAAAATAAGAGGTGTCAAGAATATTAAAAAACAGATGTGGCAAACATTTTAGGGAGGGAGGGAGTAATACAAAATTTAATTTGAAGCCTCAAAAGTACTAGGGGGGCCTTCCCCCTAACTAGGAAGCTACCTCTGCATTTACATTGTAGACACAAATGGGTGAAAATGTCATTTGACCTTCTTTTCTTCTTTTTTTTTACATATACTCCGTAAGTATGAAATTTTTTAAAGGTGGACAACTAATTAAATGCAAATGGGGATCGGAGTAACTCTATTTTTTTTTCTTTTGAGATGCCAATTAATAATATACAAATAATTGTACTACATATAGGCATATAGATTCCTTTTGACATTAATTCAAAGCCGGTTCCGAGGTTTCAATGGCCCTGGAGGAAACGAAAAAATGGGTTTTGTTCCTAAAAAAATTAAATCACATAAACTATTTTCTTTAAAACAATAATTAATATTATTATAGTAATGCACACTCTTTATCCATAAATTAAATATAATCTAAATAAATAAATGATGAAAATTTTGAGATATCAAAACTATTTTTTAGATGAACCTAATTATATTAAATTTATACTCCCTTCGTCCCCCAGTTTTTGTCCACTTTTAACTTTTGGAACTGTTCATCTAAGCACTTTGACTCATCAAATTCTCTCAATGTGTAAGCCTAAATATAGTCATGTGTGATCTTGTTTGATTTGTCTTAACATATAGTTTATTAATATATAATTTCTAGAATTTTTTAATATATAAATTACAATATAAAATGGATTAAAGAGGTGCATTGGATGGTGTGTAAAAATGAAAGTGGACAAATACTCTGGGACGGATGTAGTAATATTTTTAAATATACTTCTCTCATAATTTATGGTCAAAGTGTGATACTATTTGACCAAAAAATCAAAACAAGAAAGGTTTTTAATTTGGATCGGATGGAGTAGTATTGCAATTAAATATCATAATCGATACCTTAAAATTTATGGTTTTAAATCTTTTATTAAAAAAATATATAATATACGGAGTACATATTAAAAATTTAAAATTGTTGGGCCTCAGAAAAATGGGCTTGGGCCGGTAGAACACCTTGGCCTACCCTGGGGCCAACATTAACTAATTTCAACCTTTTGAAACTATTATCTAGCATTAGATTCTCCAATTAAATTACTAGTCATTATTAAAAAATGGTAGCGATTTTAGTATCAACGACTATTTTTATGTAATTGGATTTACATAGATTAAATGAAAATTTTAATAGACATTGCTAACAAGTTAGGTAGTGCAAAGTGCATGCTCGTTCAACGATATATAGCAGGGTTCAAGGGTTGTTACCCCTGTAGCTAGACCCGAGGGAGAAAGCCCCTGACTTAATTAATTAGTTTTAAGGAAATCCTTCAGATTTTTGCAAACAAAGTCCAAAGTAAGAACACATTTGAGTATGATCATGTCAATTCTTATTTAATTTTTGATTTATTGAGAATTTGGTGTATTTTTCAAGATATACTTTGTAACTTTTATTTTAAAAATTTGTACCATTATTTAAATAAATTGAATTAGAAATAAACAAGTTGAGCTGTTTAGGAGGTAGAGGGAAAATTGTTGCTAAATGAGTTGGGAAAAGTTTTACTAATACCTCCGTCCCGTGAAACATTTCCTCTTTCTTTTTTTATCCGTCCCACAAAACACTTCTCATTTCTATTAAAAAGTCACTTTTAACCCTTACTTTTTCATACCCTACCTATCACATCATACCTTTTTACTAATAATCTATCCATCAAATCATACTTTTATCCATCACATTAAGGACATTTTTGGAAATTCAATACCAAAATATACTCCCTTAAATCCCTCCTAAAATGCAAATGTCCCATGTTTCACAGGACGGAGGAAGTAAATGAATATATTGGCTATGGGCGAGGAGGTGTTACACTTTGTCTCTCTTTATTGAAACTAAACGGACCTTCTTGTCCATGGATATGTGTTATTATTGACTTGTTGTGTTTGACATAATTCGAACATCACACTTAACTCGGGAATAAGTTCACGCAAATTATTATTATTATAGCCTCAGTCCACACTCCTCACACTTCCTCATATGAAATATTTGCACTAAATAGCACTAAAACTTAAGTCAATTCTCTAAATAGCATTTAGATTTTTTTCTTCCCCAAATAGCACTTAATAATGTCTATAATGACCAGTGATGGCAAATATTTACTTAAATAATGACTAATGGATAATGACTAAAAGTGCTACATTGGGAAAAAAAACATATGAGTGCTATTTAGGGAAAGTCATTATGTTTTAGTGCTATTTACGTAAATTCCTCCTTCCTATATTTAAGTTCAAACACTCATTTTAGTTTTTAAAGCAGTTCAAACATTTATTTGAAACACATCCAATTCAATATAATTATCTTTCCATGTGGGATGACACTCTAACAAAAACTCTCATTCTTTTTTAAGAATAATGTGTGAAAAATAAACATGAATTTAACCATGAGACGAAATGAAATTATATGTTCACTATTTACATAGTCAATATTGCTTACTTATTTTATTTACTTATTGGATAAAATAATATATTAGCGTCAGCACTTGTTTCATAAAAGTTTTGATATAATTTTAAATGGGTAAATTTAATTTTTCAAGCTCACTTTAATTCTCAAATACATTAAATTAAAAATAAAATTTATCAAATATTATAAATTGAAAAGCACAATTTAATAGCATGATAAAAACTGAAAAGACAACCGAAAAAAACAATAGATTTAGAGCACGTGAGTGGAAACCCTTCATAAGAAATAGAGAGAGACACACAGCTGCAGAGGGTAATGGCAATGGCAGCTAACGTGCGTACAGACACTGAAATGCCGGTTTCACTCTTGCATCCCAAATTAAATGCTCTTATCCTTTGTACTCCTTCCCCTGTTCCCAAGCAAACAAACCACTATTCCATTTTTGGCAAAAGAGGATGAACACCATTATATTCCCGAGGGACCTCGACACTTACACTATGGTTCAAGGAATTCAAAAGAAAAAAGAAAAGAAAATGAAGTGGAAAACAAGTTTTCTTGTTTGGTTAGAAAGAAAAAGTGGAAGGAAAATAGAATGAGAAGACAAAATGTACCAAGTAGAGGGAAAACCAAATTCCTCCCATTTTGGTTAGGAAAATGAAAGAAAACTATTTTCTTTTCTTTTCCTTCAAAATTCCTTGAACCAAACATAGTGTTAGAGTTATAAAAACTCGGATTGGCCCGGAAAATCAGATTAGAAAAACTGTTTTTGAGTTACAACGATAAAAATCTGGACCGATCTTCGATCTTAGAACTGATGACTGGTATAATTCCGGCTTATTCCGATCTAAAAATGGATAGTTTTCAGGTCAGACCGGTAAAACAGAAATATACTCCATATTTATTATTAAATCATTTTTTCTATTTTAATACTAGTTATATTTTATTATAAATAAAAACATCAACTATAATGTTTGAGTTTAGTTTTTTTTAAATGTTTTTATATGCAACTTATTCTTGGTAAGATAAAAATGTACTCCGTACCAAGGTGCAACTTTAATAGTGTTTTTGAAACCCCAAAACTAACAAAACTTGAAAATTTATTCTAAATTTATCATATTGTCAATAAAATATTTGTATGTTGATATTATTTCTAAAAGCACAGTCAACAAATAGAAAAAAATAAAATAAAGTTGAATATTGCTTGGTCGTCAAAAGCGAGTTGAAATAATCCGAGAAAAAATACCAATAAAATGAGACCGAGTCGGGAAAAACCTTGTCCAGACCGGTCCGAACGTTCGGATTCCGTTCATACCCTTTACCTGATTTCAAGTTTACAAGAACTATTTTTGGACCGATGTTCCCCCCAACCACCATCGCTCAGATAATTAGCTGAAGGTAAGTTGAGCTATAATTTCAGTCAGTTGGCTTGGAATTCCGTGACTAGTACTTACAATTTTACAAATGCTCCATACTTTGCAGCCACCAGATCAACTTCGAACTCTAAATCTCTCCCTTATAGCACTTTTATGCCAACTGTTAAGACGCCTCATCGACAACGTTTCATTTTTGCACTACTATACTTCATACTAATATACTCTCCATTTCAAAATAATTGTTGCAATTCTATTTTAGCTTCTTGATAGTTTTATTTATTTATGTGTTTTCATTAACTATTTGATAAAATAAATATTCATCACATTTTGTGTCATACTCCCCCGTCCAAAAACTATCTTCCCATTGCGCGTTATGATTTTTGATTAAAGTTATTTTCAATTTATTTTATATGAAAAATGGTTTGGAATTTAAAAGTAAAAATTACATACTAAAAATTTAGACCAAAAGATCTACAGAACTTAATGTGACATGACTATATAATTTTGCGAGAAATACCATCATAACACTAATATATACTTAAAATGACCAATATAGCACTTCTATGAGATATTGGAACTCGTTTGGATGCAATTCCAAATTTGTCCTTGCATTCCACACTACCAAAAAATATGTTTAAGTTGGTAACACTTCTATAACATGGACATAACACACTGCCGTCATACCAAATATAACATATATCCACACTACCAAAGCATGATCGTTCCACATTGCTAACAAATGTGTTTATGTTTGTATACACTTACAGAACATGGGCATAACACACTATTAGAAAGTGTAGTTAAGTATTCTGAACCATGACACATTGTCCAAAGCATGAGCATAACACACTGTCAAAAAGTATAAACATAACGTAACTTTTCCACGCTTTCAAAAAAATGGTACACTTTCAATTTCGTTTATTAGATGTGTTTAAAGAGTGAGGAGTGACACGGTGATTCTAAGTGCTAGGTAGTCAAGAAATAAGAATAACCTCCTAAAATTATGGGTCTCAATAAATATGATAAATAAAATAATTAAAATAATGCATTATAATAAAAGGGTATGATTGAAAGAGATCAACGCCATAAATATCCAAATGTGTGAAAAACAATAAGGAATGCTATATCTGGAATATTGGGTATCTTAGAGTACTACATAGGGTGATTTCTATATAATTTTATCAAAAGAGAAACAAAAAGAGACCAATAAAATGAATAAAATATGATCGTGAAAATGATTTTTGGCAGAGGGAGTAATACTTTTGCAATAATTTTAAAATATGTAATTGGTAATTTTTATTTTTATAGAAATGTATAAATAAAATAATTTTAAAATGACAAGATTTTACACGTTCGAAGTGAGGCAATTATTTTGGAATGGAGGGAATAGTACCCATTATGGCATGAAAGTACTCCCCGTTACGTTTTTTGTAAGGTCTTGTTTGAAAATCACGCGTCCAATTTACATTAAACATTAGCCCTTTGGAAGAATAATTTTTTAATTAATGGTATAGTTTAACGTTTAAAACATTAAAACAAAACACTCTGCTGCCAAACGCAAAATAATATTCTTGAAAAGATAGTTTAACATCAAACACTCGTACTAAAAAGATAATCACACATCAAGAGATGAGGACCATGCATTGACCTCATTCTGCCGACTTCAATTTTTTTTTTGACTTTATGGTCACTTTTTTTACTCAAAATTTGGTTGATGCAATTGGAGGGGGTGTGGTAGTGCGTTAGCGACAAGACGAGTTTGGGGGATTAACGGGGGTTAGAGGGATAGGAACAATCAATTATACGATCAGAGCACCGTATATGCCCAAAACGTTTTCAATGCAAGGGGTAGCAAAGATAGGTTCGAGATGTTGTTGGTATGACAAGGCCCTTTTAAGAACACAATGAGAATTGAGAAAGCACAAGATTCAATATACCAAGTAATTAGAGGAAAACTATATCACAAATGTGCAACTAAAACAAACAGTGATGATCAGTCAAAAACGCATTCTCAAATTGTCACAAGCATAGATATAATAACTATACAAAGGGAGTACAAAAATATTACATGGGGAAGCAGCTCGCTTAGGCAAGAACAACAGTTGAAGGAGCTCCGGGTGGACGTGGTGCACCTTGACCAACCTTAGGACCAGCATTGTCCTGAAACACATTGAGTTCACATGTGTCAATTAACAACGGAAAATGGTTTTTTAATGAGACCGTTTAACAAGTAAAGACATAAACAAAGTGCAATTGTGAAACTGTTTACCCTACAAAATGGAAATTTTCTCCCACATTGTTAGGAGAGGAAGATAAGTTTAGGTGATAGACACCACACCCATTTTATTCCCTCCCTCGTGTAGAAAACATAAAAGAGATGACTATTCATATCTCTGCGACGAAAAACAAAAACACTACACAAAATATGGTTCAAAGAGAAGTGGTATTTGTAGTTTCTGGCATGTGACATGTTCATAGCTTCTTAATCGGGAAGTGATGTAACGAAAACATATGTTTTCAATTACGATGTTTCCATCATTTAGACTAAGGCTTTGACAAATGGGGAAAGTACCATTGGGCGTTTGTTGGCATTACGCACAGGAGCCTCGCGCTTCCTCCTATCAACACGAGAGCGGACCCTGACAACCTTGGAGTGAATTGCACATGAAACACAATACTGCACCTTCAAATAGAGCTTGGGAAGAGTGTACGCTGCGCAGGTAAACAAACCCTTGTTACATCAGGCGCTAGAAAGTTTCAGAGAGCAGAGTTACGTATTCTGTTCATAAACATACCATTAAAGGCACAAGCTTCCTGGACATCCCTGACAGCAGCTTGCTCCACAATGTTTCTTACAAGAAACCTCTTGATGGCTTTGTCCTGATGGTTCTAAGTGAAGCTAATCATCGTTTCATCGACACAAAAAGTGTTGATATTCTACTGAAACCATCCCAAGAATGAATCCACTTAGACACAAATAATCTTGAACGAGTGCTAAGATAATATCACATAAATTGACCAAGAAATCAAAAAAAAATTATTTGGTATACAAATGGTACAGTAACAATTTAACAGTTTAAAAAGAAAGAAGCAATCAACATATACATGGGATTCATGAGTGACAGCAAACAAACAACTGCAGCTAGACAAATACTAAGATTCATCTGAAATTATAATTAAGCCAAAATACACCCAAAAAAGCTAAAGAATTGCTCTCCTTTTTGAAGAATCAAAACTCATATTGAACTCAGAACAAACACAGGATGAGACATTACAGGTAAAAAACAGATTAGTGCATACAGGAAGATATGCGCACACAAACAAACAAAAAAACAGTGACAATCAATTTCGATTAACGTTAACCATTCGCGTAAAATCTACAAGTCTGGGACCTTAGGACAGCACTTTCCACAGTTCGAGCAGCGAACGAACTTGACATGGCCGCGGCCGTGCTTATTGCGCCCTCCGTTCCTTCGCTTGAAAGTCTGCAAATGAAGAAGCAGATAAATTGAAAATGGATTTCAGATGACAATGAAGATTCAGGAGTGCGGGGATCGGAATCCAACCATTTTAGCCGAGCTTGAAGTAATCCGCCGGCCGCCGGCGAGGATAGGGTCTGATGGAAGCGGAGGGAGGGGGTTAAGGTAAATTTGTCTTAACCTAATCTCACTCCATAGAGTAGAATTGCTTGCCTGGATACTAACCGGATACTAACTCCCTACATTAGTCTATTTTCTTTAATTAAACTCATTAATTTTGATTTATAATTAAATACAGCATTTTTGCTTCATCACAAAAAAAAAAGAAACTGTTTTGACTTTTGGAAGAAAATGCTACAGAAGTTTGACTAAAGTGAAACGATGAAAATTGAAACAAGTATAGGGTGGGAAATGTCTAAATTGGTAGGGTGTAAAAAGCCCGTAATTGAGGTATGTTACATTAGATTAGATTTAAGAAAAGCAATGGTGTTTATGTCCATTTAGGCAAAATGAAAAAGTTTTTTTAAGACAAGTAAGATGTATGACTGTATGAATGAAAATATTTTGTGGTATGGGAGGAGTACTATATTAAAAATTAATATAATGAAATAATTTGTTAAATTTTTTTGTAAAAAAATCTAATTAAATTATTATTGCCTTAATATATAATTTAAAATTTATTTAATTAATGATCAAAATTCGTCTAATTTAGTTAGAGAAACTCAGAAAGCCAAAGTAAATGAATATTTTGACACTAAAAGAGTAAGTCAAAGAAACTATTTATCTAGGATTTCCGAAGATAGATATATGAGTTCATCGTGAATTCATTGAACATTGTGAAGTTGGCTTTGGATTGAATGTGACTATGATTCAAACGAGCGGCGGCTTAAAGTTTACAGGTTCAATTACGGGTGGGCAAGAAACTTGATCCCATTTTCCTATCCTGAAACTTCCTCGTTCTGTTTACATAGTGTCACGTTTAGCTTAAGATTCAATTCAATATTATGTCTCCAATCTCTCTTGGACCAATTTATAATATAATGAAACTCGGATGGGCGTGGGCTTCCTCATATTTTTACATATTTTACCATTCTTATATTTTGTATTTGTCGAAATGGGAATATTTTCGATTTCTTCTATACATACCACGTCCATGAAGGCATGAACATAGGGAAGAGAATAAAAAGGTGATCCACATGAAGGCCAAATTGAACGAACTCTAGAGTCAAGGAAAATGAGGGCAAGAAGAAGCACAAATTATTAAAGTGTCGTCCCTTCATATCAAGGATTTATGATGAGACGCCCTTCCTAGAAGGACTAAAGATTGAGGTTAGCAAGTTCATTGGAAATGAAGATCCTGATTTTCACCTTGACTATTTTCACAGTTTGTGTCATGATGATTATGGGCCTTCCAAATAAAGAGGAGTGTTTACTTTTCTTCCAAACTCTGACGTGCCGCGTAATTGAATGACTCAACATCCTCCCTCCTTGTAAGATTGATTCTTTTCGATGAACTTGTTTGCACAAACGAAGAGATGGACGACGGGACGACAACCTCCCTTCTCATAAATGTCATTAAGGTCAGGATGGTTATATCAAGAGTTTTGCCAAAAACTCCCAACTTCAAGGATGTTCGTCGAAGCAAAAAATCAAGGCCGGACTAAAAAAGAAATCAAAGTAAGCATACCAAAATTTAAGCCCGTGCTAAATAGGAGAGAGGGGGAGCAAGTTGGAACAAGAACACCCAGATCTTATTATGACTCAATCATAAATGAGACTCGAGATGAAGAATGTCGCATGAAGACCGAATTTCAAAAAAATATAAAGTCAAAAAGAGATATTGGATAGAAAAGCATTATACTTGTCACAAAATGAAATCGAACAATATATATGAAAAATCCATGACTCTCGAGGTTGTGGCGGCACAAGCCATTGGAAAAGGAGAGCTAGAACAACAATACTTCGATGAAAGAGTAAAAGCTTAAAGTTCACGAGTTAGAAAGGTAAGCATTTTATTAAAAACTTAACACTTAGCCTAGTAGAATCGGGTACACCGATTGCACATCGTGTTAAAAATGATGACCTAGTCAAACTAGTACATTGATCGCGCACCGATCTTGCGCAATTTAAAAAAATGAAAGAGGGGACCTAGAAGAGGCTATGGATATTGCTGGAAAGAGGTTTGAACTTAGGAAAAGGTTTGAAACCGCACCTAGGCATGATTCACTAGCTTAACTAATAAGGGGGCAACATCTCCATGAAGGACACACAAATTAAACTTAAAGCATGCCTAAAATAAAAATAAAAGTTACACTAGTTATCTCCTGTATCCTCCTTTTTAAGGAAGACTTACAATTTCAGAGAATTGGAAGCCCCATTAACATTTAATAAGTTGCGGGCCTAGTTGACAAATGTTTACAAGGTCGATGCTTCACGTGATGAAATCACAATTGATTATGAAAATGAGTCCAACAAATTAATCTAAACTCTAAGAGTGAAGGCTACGGTGACGGGTAATAAAGAACTGAAAACTACGGAGTAATATAATTTACATCAACATTCACATATCACCTTATTACTTATTCGTCAAATTATACTTTTTTATTTAATTTTCGAAAAACTAAACGTTAAAAAATTATTCCGTAAAAGGTTAAAAAAGGTGTGATTCAAATTTAAAAGGTGAAAAGTATTGTGATTGGGGAGTACAATTTTTTACCTTAAAAAGAAGAGTGGAGAAAATATAAATTTTAAATAATGACATTTGGAAATTGTAAATTTTCATTTTATGTACTAGTATGTAGGATGAGTTAATAATAAGTAATTTAACATGGCCACCAAATGGTAATGAGAGACGCATAACAAAAACGTTTAAAGATATTTTCACTTTTTCATTTATCTAATCTAATAGGACAAACGGATCATATACCGTCAGGGGAGTTTCTTAACCGAAGATGTCGTTATTTACATATATAACCCCGGACTTTCCAAATGTTCACATGACGTGGCACGCGTTTGCCTCCTCATCACTAAAAAGCGTAGGGGCAAACGGGTAATTGCAGTGGATCTGATAACCCCGCCCACATGCGCAGATGGTGGTGTACGAGCAGTTATGCGACGTGGCTTTGTCGCCTTCTGCCGCCGTCCCCTTCTCTCCTCCGCCTTTCTCGCCGCCGCCGTTCTCCTTCTTCTCGCCGCCGCCCTTCTCCTTCTTCGGCGGCACGATCTCGACACTCCGCTTCATCTGCCTCCGCAGAGCCTCCGCCAGCGCCTTCTCGTCGATCACTCCCGTCACCGTCAGATGATCCTTGTCTCTGTCCACCTTCATCTCCATAAACCCTGGCAAAATAAACGCCGTCACGAGCTCTGTTCTCCGTCAAACACATTAAATCGGTATTCATACAGAGCTTATTATTTGGATATCATTACCTCTGGTTCTTCTCACAATCTTGTAGATCTTGTGGAGGCAACCGTCGCAGTGTAAGTTCATCTTCAGCACCGTCGTCGCCGCCACCCTCTTCTGCCGGAAATTTCCCCAAACAAATCCACAGTTAATACCGATCAAAATCCGATTTACAATAAACAATGGAGACGCAATAAAGGATAAAAACCGGTATGATATGATTATATGAATAACGGCGGATAGTTCTCGCGTACCTCAGCCTTATCTTTTCCGTTTCCGTTCTGGTCATCAGCTCCGCCTTTTCCGCCGCCGTCTACCCCGACGCCATTCTTCTTTTCTTCGCCGCTTGATTCTTCCTCGCGGGGGCTATTGTTCTTCTTCTTCTTCCCCATTCCGAATCTGCCTTCAAAACGGGTTTTGAAATTGGAAAATGGAAATGCAGCTGATGATGGAAGAAACGGGTCTAGTGGTAGTAGTTTATATATAGATAGGGTCAGTCGGTCAGGTCTGAAGAAGATGGGCCTTCGGCCCAAGTTTTTTGTGTTATAAGCTAGAAATAAAAATCTCAATTGCTTGTTTTTCTTGTAACAATTTTGTGTTGTAGGAAATGTACCCCAAACATTTTCAGGGCATTTCCGTTTGATTTGAGCAAAAATGATTCAAAATACCTATTGCGACCCAATTGTTTATAACGTAGTTCACTAGTTTGTGAATTTTGAAGTTTGATGGTTCAATTTGAATAGAAAATATGGCTTTGGACACTAATGTTATGGGATAAGATTTCAACAAATTGTCTTTAAAATATAATGTGCGTTTTTTTTCAAAATTAATCTAGATATACATTTCAATGTTCCCATGTCTCTGTGCACTTTACTTTTTGCACATAAACTAAGTTGGTGTTTTTCTATGTTAATGTTTTAATTTATTGCTTATAAGTTATAACCAGTTTTTAACTTATAATTTGCTTATAAGTTAAAAATTTCTTCGTGTAGATAATAAAGACTTAAATGATATAGAAGTCATTTGGAATATAAGAATATGTGATGGATAGTTTTGTAAGTAAACTTTTTTTTGAGGGAGTTTTGTAAGTAAACTTGTCAAAACAGAGAAGTGAAAAAACTAGATTAAATATAAGTAAGTAAAACCTACTTAATTTTCGGCTTATAAACAATTTATAAGTCAGCTTATAATACGCACAAAGAAACACATCATCTACTTACTTATAAGTTAAAAATAACTTATAAGCAGTTTTGACTTATAATTATAGAGAAACACTCACTAAGAAAAATAAATTTAATTAGAAAAGTGACTCTAATGCGCTTCCAAAACTTCGTACAAAATTGACATTTATTGATATGCCAACTTCTGCTTGCTAAATCATCATAGATTATTAATGCGTACATTTCAATATTGCAAAAATATTTCCCATATCAGTGTTTGACTTTGATCCACGCGGATCAGGGGCCAGACCATTGCGTGATACGCTTTGCCAGGAGAATGGGGAGTCTTAGAAGTAGTGAAAATGTGGGCTTAACGCCCTCTACGTAGAAAAGGTGTTTAACGCCCTTAAACACCGCCCTCCCCCGTCATGCAAGCTTCATTCACCATGCGTTAAACATTTAACGCAAATGAAGAAGGTTGAAAGAGCCGTTGCCCCCCTAGTGGTCGAATATTTGGCCATTGTCAAATATAAAAAAAATTAAAGGGGTGATGGGATTTGTCCCAATGACTACAGTGGAACGAAAAAGTGTGAATAATATAAACACTCGGACAAATATCTCTTTTGAGTAATTTCTGTATTAGCTTGATTTAGCTTGGTTTACAATGAGGGGTTCATCCCCTATTTATAGTATAGAATTAACGTGTATAAGGTAAGGCGGTCGTGCGTCACTACATTGGAAAGTTTCATAAATCGTGCGCTAATTGTGGCCGAGAAATCCTTTAACAATCTCCTCCAAATCCCCACGATTTCATGTATTGTGCTTCACGCTTTCCTTCCTTAAATAATCCTTTGGGTCGGGCGGGCTGAGCCCTTGGACCCGTACGATTCTTGGGTCGTGCCTTTCTTCATTGACTTGTTCAGGGTCCCGATCGCGTTGGGCTTAGTATTATCATGTTTGGGCCTTTGATGACTCATTCCTTTAGCCTGATATCAACCAAGGGGATTAAAACTGATATGACAAAGAGGGAAATTTTAAAGCCCCGAATATCAAATGTATTTTGAGTGCCTTTAGAAAGCTCTTTCCATGCATTCCTAATACTCCATCCGTCCCAGAGTATTTGTCCACTTTCATTTTTACACACCATCCAATGCACTTCTTTAATCCATTTTATCTTGTAATTCGTATATTAAAAAATTGTAGAAATTATATATTAATAATCTATATGTTAAGACAAATCAAACAAGATCACACATAACTATATTTAGGCTTACACATTGAGAGAATTTGACGAGTCAAAGTGCTTAGATGAACAGTTCCAAAAGTAAAAAATGAACAAAAACTGGGGGACGGAGGGAGTAATTGAGAATTGATTCTCCCTATTTTGTGCTATCCAAGATGCTTCCTACCAAAAAAGATTTGGTACGAAGTATGAAGTATTTTGATAAAAGATAGGATTAAGCTTGCCCCAACATTTATATCTCAATTTGTACCCCGCAGGTTTGCACCAACATTTTGTATTGATGTAAAACTAATTTTTTTAATGCACCAACACTTTGTGTCCATGTAAATTTTTGTTAATGTACCAACACTTGTCTCGATGTAAACCATCAAAATGTTTGTACATAACTATGGTATACAAATGAGGTATCTTTTTTGGTGTAAGTGGAAAGATATGCTACATACTCAATTTTCTTTTGCACTCCTCTTTCGTCTTCCTTCCTCTCTGCGCCAAAAGTCCTAAAACACTGTCGTAGTCCTAAGACCTAAGGTATCTCTTCTTCTTTTCTTCCTCCTTCCTTTCCAAACCCTATTTCTGTGCTATCGCTTGGGATTTTTATCTTGCAAGCTTTACTTTGTTTCCTGCAGGAATTGTAGGGTTGGAATTAGGTTTTGTTTTTGTGAAAATAGGAGGGTGGCGCGATTATTATTATTATTATTATTATTATTATTATTATTATTATTATTATTATTATTATTATTATTATTACTATTATTATTATTGATTTATTGCCATGATGATTTATGGTGCATGTGTCTTCGTGAAAGAATCTCCAGCATCAATTTTCAACTTTCAAAAGTTTAAATAATTCACGAGTATATGACAGATTAACAGCAACACGAGGGAGTAAACCATGTGAAAATTTAAAATGATGTGTTTTCTTCTAATTCTTTTGGATCACAGTAATGGCAGTGCCCAATGAGGCAACGTGCTTTGAAATTTTGCTATCTATTTTTATGCTACCGAAGGCCTCACCCTCACACTCTGGTTCAACCTTGATCCTTTCTAACAATAATCGTTTTTGTCATTGATTTCATGGAGACAATGGAGTATTCGGTAAGTGCTTGACATAAAATTTATAGCATTAAATTATTTTTGATACAGAGTATAAAGTATTTTAATAAATGTGTGATATAAGGTTTACACTACCTTACTAATCGGAATAATTATAGGTGGAAAAAACAGGTCCGGGAACTACAGGTTGGAATCGAACCGTACAGTTTGGGACGGGTTATGGTCGGGTCCAATATGCCAATTTTCAAAATGGGGCTGTCCAAGCCGGTTTCATTGCTTAAATGAGGCAGGCTGCTTCTCAATTTTTAAATTTCATAGGACCCGTACCGGCCCATAATAATAATACTCCATCCGTCTCAATTTAATGTGAAAGTTTGATTTTTTCAAGTCAAATTGGATGAACTTTGAGATTCAGTTTAATAAAAACCAAAATGTGTATATGTTTAAATCGTGGACGTGGGTGATCTCATTTGATATGCCATATAAACTAATAAACCTGCTGGTTTACTATACTTTGTTGTTTCAATTGGAAATGTGATTAGAAACATGACTCCTTGTATGCAAGGATTGTAAAGTAATCCGTATTTAGAAATGTAATGTTTGGATCCGTAGGGCTGTAGAATTGGCCCGTTTCAAGCAAACTGGGTTAGGGTCGGTTACAACTTTAAATTTTCAATGCCTACCTCCAAGAGTAATCGTCCAATGCAAAACTGTTAGGGGTACATCAAAAGATGTATTCTAAGTATACAAATGAGTTCCTCTACTACATAATGGGGGCGATTCCCATGACATTGCCAAACATTTCCATGGGATGATCTAGGGTCCGTACAGTGTTTCGTTCAAGAAATTGATAGTTCTACCCTCCTAATTCTTCCAACCCGATCCGAACCCACTTTTCCACCATCTTCAATTGCACTCTCTAAATTTTGTTGACTTTAGAATCAAATTTTGACTCCAAAATCAACTAAGTTTGGAAGGTGCAATTGAAGAAGGGGAGGGGGTTGGTTCAGGTTGGGTCAGGTGGGAGAGAGAGTTACCAAGAAGTTAGGGGTATGGACTATAATTTTCATGCGCACTCCTCTTTACTCTTCCTTTCTGTGCACCAAAAGTCCTAAAACACTGTCGTAGCCCTAACACCTAAGGTATCTCTTCGTGAAAGAATCTCCAGTATCGATTGTCAACTCTCAAAAGTTTAAATAATTCACGAGTATATAACAGATTACAGCAACACAAGGGAGTAAACCATGTGAAAATTTAAAACGATGTGTTTTCTTCTAATTTTTTTGGATCACGGTAATAGCAGTGCCCAATGAGGCAATGTGCTTTGAAATTTTGTTGTGTTAACTGCTAATCACACAGGCTGTAATCAGGGTATGGTATTCATGGGAAAACCAGAAGTAATTAAACACTAGTTGGGTTTAATTAACAAAAGAGTACTGAAATCGCGATTAAGTTTAAGAATTCTTAACAAAAGTTTATACTCCCTATGTCCTAAAATTTACTTTTCATGTTTTTTTGAGTGCATTTACTTTCCATGTTTACTTGTCACGGTTACTAAGGAAATGAAACTGCATGGTTTATTTATATTTTAGAAATGAGGGAACAAATTTTTCTTCAGTTTCCACTAATTTATTATAACAAGTTACCACGCCCATGTTAAAATTTGCAGGTTCAGAGTAGTTGTGTATAGGGTATAGCCATTGATGGCTTCAGGTGCGAAAGAATTGCCTTCCAACAACCCAGGCCTTCAGGCTACCCCTGAAGATGCCACCAAAGGTTACTTCTTGCAGCAAACTGTAAGCCTCCCTCTTTCAATTGTTTAGCTTATTATGTGCATTGTTAGCCCGCCATTAATTTTGAGTAGTACGGAGTTATATTTATTATATTTATAATTATGGGTTGGTTCTTGTGACGCAATGGTATGGTGTCATATCATGACACCAGGGTTTTCCTGCTATTGTGATTCCCAGACAAGGCTGGGGTGAGGTGGGAACATGATGGGAGGGGGGTGGGGCAGAGGAGGTGGACATCAGAGGGATGTAGGGGGAGGGAGTTTTGGGATCATCGATGCAACGGACTGGCCGGAAAAGGACACAATGGCTGTCGATGTCATTAAAAGTGTATTACTCCGTACTATTATTACTCCATTCGTCCCACTATTTGTCCTTTTTCCCTCCTTTTTTTGACCCATACAATACTTGGTCATATTTATGTGGTTCACATTCATTCTTTACTTTTTACTATCAACCATACAACCTTATTTTTCTTAATTTCCATGCCACTCCACCATGTCCCAAAAATAGTAGGTTGGAGGGAGTATTACTATTATTAGTTTATTACTCCGTACTACACTAAAAAAATACTAGCTGATTGCATTACCTGAATTACAATTTTATAAATTGTTTTTTGGGCTAAACTGGCTGAAATAAATGGAAAATAAGACTTTATTAAAGTTTTTTAGATACTCCATTCTACTAGAAATGTTACGATTAGCCATCATCATCATCATCATCACACTTTAGTAACACTTTAATCCCAACTACTTGTGCTGGATTGCTCTATGGAATTCTTAATGCCAATCAATTGTATAAAAATTAACAGTATAAACTCATGCAGAAAAAAGAGGCACTGTTTTAGGGTGTATGGCATTCATGTTGCTACCTTCACAAGTCACAACAAGGAATTATGGGATGAAAAATACTATAAGGTCCCGTTTGGTACATGGAATTCAAACTATGGAATTGGAATTGGGGACTTCAATTCCAATTCTGGTGTTTGATAGCACAAAAATTATGTGGATTTGGAATTGATATTGCAAAAAATGAATTGAAATTGACAGAATTCAATTCTATGGAATTGAATCCCATGGAATTTCAATTCCAATTCCACCAATTCCTTATACCAAACGGACCCTGACAGTCATCATAATAGGATTCATAGGTTATTTCCACATGCATAGAAAATAAAATGAAGTTGCAAATTTGCAATGAGCAGAGATATTTTCCATTGCCATATGTTCTACATTATTTTCAATATAATTCAGCTCATTAAGCAATTTTGTCTACACTATATTCAAATCCAGATGTTCCAAATGAGTTTTCTCTCACAAAACAAACTCATTATGTGATTAACTTTTTGTGTTGTATGCTGCTAGAACAAAATAGTTACTGTCCCCTACATCGAAGATATAAATGTTAGAAGGTCTAAGTTTTCACTTTTCCTCTAAATTCCTGAAGATGAGGTATCAATATTGTAATCTTCACACATATCAATAGACAATTTCACTAAAATATCAATATGCAATTTATAAGTTCTATATGAATGAATACATTGGCTTGTTTGTGGTGACCAATAGGCAATTTATTCTCATTTTTGCACTTCTGCTCCAATCTCGCTTGTTTGTGGTGATCCTTCGTCACCTGCTAGATCACCTGCTAGACATTATATACCACCACATAATGCCTAACACTTATCTTTGATTTGTGTGAGCCTTAGATGTTCAGGATTAAGGACCCAAAAGTCAGCCTTGAGTTCTACTCCAAAGTATTGGGCATGTCGTAAGTCATCCTGTCTTTTTCCAATGATTCTACTTTTCTGTTTGTTTACTATGTGCATGCTTGATAGTGCTCATATCAATTTTATTTTGTGGCAAAATGGTGTGTGTTTCCGAATTGAAGCCCAACGTTTCACTATGCCAAATGCTAAGTCTATCGTCACTCCCCTTTATCAGTTGAGAGTTATGGCTATGGGGGTTGGGCTGATGTCTATGAATAGGAGGGTTTTACATAAGTCATCTTGTTCATGTTGCATTTCTGTGAAGTGTAAACGTGTGGAGTGCTACTAAAACCGGGTACATAAATATATTTTGTTTACAATAATATTTTTTGAGGTAAGAGTTCAAGTCCCAATAAGAATCAGTGATCACATCCGTGATCATGAATGATTGTGCAAAAAGCATCTCTCTGCGTTGTTGGCTGTGATTTTTAAAGCCTCATCCACATATAGATAACATGGAATAAACAACTAATGGGGAATTTCTTGTGCTCACAGTGTTCTGTTTTATTTTGATGTAGATTGTTGAAGAGATTGGATTTTCCAGACATGAAATTTAGCTTGTATTTCATGGGATATGAGGTAAGGAACTGAACTAATTATGGGTAATCAATTTCATGACTTTAACCTACAAGGTTAATGTGATTTTCTGCAACCAATGGGTTAGGACACATCATCAGCACCCAGTGATCCAGCTGATCGTGTTTCTTGGACGTTTGGTCAGAAAGCTACCCTAGAGCTTACACAGTAAGCACCACACGTCTTTGAATCACCCAACACTGTTAGCAGAACTTTATTTTCAGCAACAGTCAAATTCTTTTTGTAGTAATTGGGGTACTGAGAGTGATCCAAATTTCAAGGGTTACCATAATGGAAATTCAGAGCCTCGTGGATTTGGTAAGCTAATTGGATTTATTTTTAAAGCTAATTTCGTTTATCTTAAGTACCCATATACTGCATTCTCACTTCATCTACGAGTGCCTGTTTTTTTTCTTTCTATTTTTATTTTATTTATTGCCTCACAAGCAGAACTTAATTGTATCTTATGAATCTTGCATGTAAACTACTCATCAATTTGTCACCTAATCTCTCTAAACTTGAATCTTTCATATGGCCTACAGCCTGCCAGTCAATTTGTCACACATGCATTTTGTTTTTTTCTATCCCGTGTCCAGGACACATAGGAATCACTGTTGATGACGTATACAAGGCTTGCGAGAGATTTGAGAAACTTGGTGTGGAATTTGTAAAGAAACCAAATGATGGTAACTTTTCCTCCTTAACACTATGTTTGGTTCAAGGAATTTGGAAGGAAAAGAAAAAAAATGGTTTTCCCTCAGTTTCCATGCTCGAAGTACATTTTGCAGAAAATCACATTAACCTTGGTAGGAAAAGAATAGAAAATGGGAGGAATTTGGTTTTCCATGCTCTAAGTACATTTTGCTTTCTCATTTTCTTTTCCTTCCACTTTTCTTTTCTTTTCCTCTCTAACCAAACAAGAAAAATGTTTTCCCTCTCATTTCCTTTTCCTTTCCCTCTCAAATTCCTTGAACCAAACATAGTGTAAATGGTTCGAACAGCTTTATATGCCTTCCATGCCCAAATTATAAAGTTTTAAAAAATAGTGGATGAACAAATTCTACAATATAGTTAATATGAAATCAGAAATAATAAAGTGACGATAAATGAGACTGAAATAATATGAGAAATAATAAATACTCCATCTTTCTTATACAAACCAATGAGCACTACATGACTACGAGTTATTTGTGGAACATCATATATCTTATAAATCTTAGTGTTCTTCACTTCTTCTAAGTTGTCATGTTTCTATACTACAAAGCATATTTCGGCTCGGAGAGACCAATGCTATCATAAGATTGAGCAATTTCGTTGTCCAGAAAGTATCATAAGCTTCCCCAAGCCATTAGTTTGTCTAAATAAATATTCTTTGGGTTGAGTAATGCCTTCTAGATTACTACTTGTAATGACATTGAATTCAACCTACACTACTTATGCACTTGTTACTGACAAAATGTTGATAACAATATAAGATGGTCAACATTACGCCTAGTCATGTTAATTTCACGTATGATTGTACTAAACTGTCCTAACCATGCCTGCAGAGTGCAGAGATGGTTTGAGACCATATGAAGAGAAGGGTAATATGCACTCTAGACTATAGACCNGTGGTTACTCCATGTAAACTTCTTTGTATAGATCCTCATGGTGGAAATCGTTCTTGATATCCAACTAGAAGTATTTTTACACTTCACTGTACATTTAAGTTTTATCTCACACCTATAAATGTACATTTACCTACTAAAGTTCATAAGGCACTTCCTTTTTGGAGCGACATGAGGTTATGTTTGTTAAGATGTGGGCTCTTGAGCTCTTCCATCTAATGGCACATAACATAGCATTTGATTCCCTTTCCAGACAAGATTGTTGTTGAATGTTGGTGGATTTACACCATGAAGGCTGGTCCTGATGGCAAAGTCAGTAGTCTTAAGCATGTTTTGGGCCAAAGGGCACATTAAGATTTATGGTGCTAATTATACTACACATTTTCACCCGTAGCAAAGATTACAAATGTTAGCTTGCATTTATGGGACTACCACGATTCAATGGACCTTGTAAACTTCCTCATCCCTTCCAGATGCTATGGTCGTCTTGGTTGCTCGGCTATCATCGTAGCCTGGTCAAGCCACAAGGTCGTATTTCATATGATGCCGACCTTCATGGTCGATACGCCCACCTGGTCTAACAAAGGGCCCACTCTCATCGTCGTTCATTCGTAGGTGGAGGTCGTGCAAGTGATGGGTCACACATGGGAAACTGACATATACATTAGGACGAAAGGAGTAAATTTTTTGAATAACCCATCATTCCTTAAGACATAAACTGTGGAATTTAGTCAATCTAGACAGATAAATAGGAACCTAGGGAGTAATATTTTGGGAATTGGGATACGATATGTAGGACCGGCTATCGTGTGCCCAATATGTATGGGAATGTGTCCATCAAGCAGACACTTGAAAAGTTAAGAGTTTCCATTCACAGTCATCATTTCATAAATGAAGAAAGTTCATTGCAGGAAAAATGAAGGGGATAGCATTCATTAAGGATCCTGATGGCTATTGGATAGAGATCTTTGATACACGTTCTATCAGGGAGGTTACTTCTGACGCTGCTTGATTTTACCTCTTCCCGCGTATCAGTCAGGTAAACCCCAGTAATTAGTTGTTTGGCGATTTTTTTTACTCTCTTTTGCGTGGACGAAATGGATTAAGCGAAAAACGCATATTAGCCAAACAAACACTACATTGACTGAACTATCATTCTCCCTATGCAGGAGATCAATAATCGACACCAAGGCTTGTTTGGTTATGTTTTCTTGAATTGAATGTGTGTGGATTTGAAATAATAATAATAAAATGAAAATATTCTGCTGATATCTGTTGTAGTGTTGTCTCTGCTGATATTCTTCACACTGAGGAAATGGATATTTTTGGGAAATATTTATGCAAATACTCTCGGAAATTTGATGCCTTAGAAGAAAATGTTTTAGGGCCCGTTTGGTGAGTTTTAAGTGATTTAATATTTGTATAATAATTCTCCAAGCTTGTATTTTGGTCATAGATGCAACAACAACCTAGTAGTATGACCTCCCGCAAGAACAGAGTTTAGGTAGGGTGTATGCAAGCAACCTTACTCCTAATAGTAGAGAGGGTGTTTCTAAGATTTTGGTCATTCATACACCTCAAAGAAGAAAAATCATGTGAAAAATATTAAATTTCTTAAAGCATTGGTTGGTGATAATTTTGTAATCTCAGACTATTTTTGTAATACGTAGTATCAAATTTCTCATAGTATTGATATGATTTTTTTTTCTAAATTTCTAATCTGATTATGACGCATTGATTAAAAATAATCCCCAGTCCCCAATCATCTTTTTTTAAAAATTTGTTTTTCAGGGGTAGGAATGGAGCAACGCGAATAAATAAAATCAAGATTAGAAAACTAGCCAAATCCAATGGAATTTGAGAAACTGTTAAAATCTTAAAAAATTACGGAGTATTCTTTTTGGAAATTACAAAAAATGAAAAGTAGAGGAGAAACATTTAACGAGACATCAAGCATTGAACGATCGACGTTTTATACTTTGTACTTCCTTTTCTTTTTTAGAATGTACTCCGTCCGTGAGTGTTAGTCTACTTTTGATTTTTTTTTTAGTCGAAATTGGTAAATTTTGATCTTAAATTTACTAAAAATGAATTAGATATTGACATAAAAATAGTTTTATTAAACTTGTTATATCAAAAATTTTTAAAATATTATTTTATCTAATTAATATACAATATATATTTTATTTAATTATAAGTCAATGATTGTAAATAGTTAATAGAAAAAAATCAAAATTAGACAAATACTAAAAAATGGAGATAATACCATTTTGAGTAAAACTCGGAAATGATCTTTTTCTTTTTGTAATTAAAGAGTTTTCACGTTTAGTCCTACATTTTTGGAAACACTTGGCGTACATTTTTTGGGACACTTTGGTCCTACACTACTACCTCGAAACATTTTGCCTGTCACATACTCCCTCCGTCCCAGAGTATTTGTTCACTTTCATTTTTACACACCATCCAATGCACTTCTTTAATCCATTTTATCTTGTAATTTGTATATTAAAAAATTATAGAAATTATATATTAATAATCTATATGTTAAGACAAATGAAACAAGATCACACATGACTATATTTAGGTTTACACATTGAGAGAATTTGATGAGTCAAAGTGCTTAGATGAACAGTTCCAAAAGTTAAAAGTGGACAAAAACTGGGGGACGAGTATTTAATTATTCACGTTTAGGGTTCACCACACAAATGTGATATGTACTTCTTCGTATTACGGAGTAACTATGTATCTCACTTTATTATTCACATGTTAAATTATCTTTTCTATTTAAACTTATTTTTGTTAATTATTTGTTAAAATAATATGATTATATCATTTCTTCTTTTAAAAAAAACTTGATGTGGGTTCTTAATACTTTTCCTTGGAAAGATCATCACAATTAGACCTCTTCAAAATTTTAAAAAAGTTATAATAAATTTGCAAAGTATAAAAAGAAGTGCAAAGTTGTTTAAAAAATAAAAGCATAAATATTTTATATTAATCTTTAACCATTATTGTTTAAACAAATTTGATTAAATTTAAACTTAATTGAAATTTGTAGAAATCTAAAATGAGACTAGTTAAATATCAATTACTTACACAAGTTTATTTAGAGCACCTACGGTACTTTCATTCGGTAAAAATGATGATCCCTATATCCGCTAACCTTCCTCTAAAATCCCCACCTAATTCCCATCATGTCTCCATCCTTCTCCTTGTCCTCTCTCTACTCTTAATAGACGATAGTATACTGCCAGTTTAGGGAGGGAGTAGGAGCGGGTGGAGAGTTTAAAGAAATGTTAGTAGAGGTAAAAATTACTCCCTCCGTTCCCCTATGATCTTCCCGTTTTGACTTTTTGTGATTTTTAAAGAGAATTGGAAAAAATGAAAGTTTACCATAATATTCTTAATAAAAATGATATGAGTGGAGTGTATTGAATAAGATAAGTGAGGTGTAATAAATAAAGTAATTGATGGTAGTTATGATATCTTAATTGTTAAAAAAAGTAATTAGAAGATATATTCACAACAAATAAAAAGGATTATTGGGAAAATTTATGGGTGATAGAGGGAGTATTATTCTATCAAGAGAGCATCGTATATAAAGGTGAGTACCAAAAAGTGGAAGAAAAGTTGGATAGCTGAAAAAAAAAAAGAAGAAAAAACCAGACAAACGTGGTAGACCGAACAAGCAAATGAAGCAATGGAACATCAGAGGTTATGTCAGGATGACACCCACGTGTGATCGACAGCATAGTTATGGAAAGATGGATCTAGAAACTCAGCGCTATAACATAGCTGCCTTTAGTACCAATCATAAATATTCATTGCTCCAGCACATATGAAGCCCGTTAATCTTATGGTCGAATTATGATAATGCTAGTGTGGAAATTTTATTATTTGTAATACTACATCCCTTCTAAAATCATTTTCTCGTTTCTGTTTACGAGGTTTGACTGATTTTATTTTCAATTCAATTTATTTAATTGTAGGTGTAAAATTAAAAAATAAAATTTGTATATTAAAAAACTACATCAAATATTCTACAAAACAAGATGTGACAAGACTATATTATTTTAACAAATAACTAAGAAAAATAAGTAAAGAAAGTGATTTAAGTTTAATCGTGTGAATAGAAACTGAGAAGATAGTTTTAGGATGGAGGGAGTAGCTCCTTGTGTCACATGGCGACCCCTTTAAGGGTAATATTGAGATTATACCATAATTTACCTCTCATAATCTTGTCAGGCGGAGGTATGAGCGCAAGGGTGGACGTTCCGCCATAAATATTCATTCCTCCCTCATAAAGAGAGGATGTTAATTCTGTTGATTTTAACGTTGAATACTTGAATCCCAGTAACGGCATTATGGAAATTCTATTATTTGTATTAGCTTCTTGTGTGCATCGAGTTGAACTTTAAAAATTATATTAATGGTCAATAACATTAGAAATATTATATTTCCTACGTCTGGAAATGTTCTTCTTATTTGACCATTATACACTCTCACTTTCCGAGTATATTTATACATAGATATATTTTATAAAAATTTGATATTTCAAAATTACATTTTATTAGAAAAAAAATTGATATTAAATGTATATCATAACACACTATTTTTTTTCTACAAATTGAACTCAGAATTTACAAACTTTGAATAAGAAAAGCCACGTGTGAAGAACATTTCCGAACGGATGAAGTATCAATGATTTTTTAACACTAGACTTGGAAGTGCGTTAATTACGCGTTGGTCCAGTGCAAGTATGAATTTATTTAAATACATATTACACACTAGTTATATTTGCAATATGTCGAGGTACTCAATCACATTAAATTACTTTTAATGTGATTGGTGAACTATGATGCAACATGTAGATTATTAGTACAACAAATATACATAGTAATATACTCTCCCCGTTCTTAAAAAAATTTCTTATTTTGACCAAGTGTAAAATTACGGAAGTATTAAATTGTAGTTGACTTCCAATTTTGTTCTTGGTGTGATGAATAAAAATAAGATATGATGGATAGATTATTAGAGAAAAAATATGATGTGATAGGTAGGGTATGAAAAAGTAAGGGTAAATTTGATTTTTTAATAGAAAGTGAAAGTGTTTTGTTGGAAGTGAAAAAATTGAAAGTGAAAAATGTTTTTGAGGACGGATGGAGTAATAGATAAGGTAAAAATTAGTAAGAGTAAAAATAGTATTTTACTCAAAAAGGAGAAAAGAGATTTAGGTACAAGAAAAGAAAGAAAGAAAGAAGAAAGACTTTTAGGGATAAAATGAGTGTGTATATTGAAACCTCTTGAAATGAGTAAATTGTCAAAATGATACTCAATAACTATATGTTTTCCCAAATCAATCTCTCTAATTAACTAATTACTTGATGATACTCAGCTCGTTAATTGAGAATAGTCCTTAATTCTGCCCCCAACTAACGATTGTTAAAATGACGTACCCTGTACTGTTTTCCCAAAATGATATTTTTGTAACTCGGTGTTTTCTCAAATTGATTAATTTTCAAAATAAAAATAAATTAGTTATGGAAAAATATATTAAGTTTTATAGGATGAGAATATATTACTAATATAAAAACAATAAATATTTTTTTATAAATTTGAAAGTAAACATTTTAGATTATTCACAATTATTTTGAAGAACATCTTAAAAATAAAATGTTTAACAAACGTTAAAAAAATCATCCTAAATAGAAATAAAACATAGAGAAAGAGCTCCTATTTTGATAGTTTCTTTATGTTATTTTCCTATTTAGGTTAATTATTTTATCATTATTAAATATTTTATTTACATGACATTCTTCTTAATAATTGCACATAATCTAAGATGTTACTTTCAAATTTATAAAATTACATGTATAGTTCTTATTATTATATTCTCATCCTAAAACATTTAAAAAAAATTCCATATTTAATATATTTTTGTTTTGAAAATGGTTCAATTTCAAAAAACATCCCACTAGAAAGTACCATTTTGGAAAATTAGTATAATTTTTAACGTTATGTTAACGCCGTTTTAATGGTCGTTAGTCGGGGACTAAATTGAGCATCTTTTTCAATTAACGAGTACCATCTTGATAATTAATTTATCTAAATAGGATTAAAACATAATGACTATCTCAATATAGGTCCATATGTTTTTATTTTCCAATGTAGGACCTTTGGTCATTATGAAGTCTTTATTCAAGTAATTGTTAATCATTACTGGACATTATTCCTCCCACTAGGTCATTATTAAGTTCTATTTAGGTAATAAAAAAGTATAAGTGCTACATTAGGAAAGTCATTATGTTTTAGTCCTATTTAATACAAATTTCACTTAATTAATTTTGGTGAGTAATATAAAAGACAAATAGTTATTGAGTAACATTTTTGGAATTTACTCTCTTGAAATCTTATATAATTATTCTCGAATAACATGAAAAATCA